TGGCCGAGGGGAGACGTGTAGTGGCGTGAAGCTAGGCGATTAGGTGCCGTACGCGAACGCCGGTTCGAGTCACGCACGCAGTACGTATTTACTATAATTAGACATAGTCTTTACCTGCCGTTTATTCGGTGTTATTTGCTTACTTTACTTCCTATGTCGACAGCAACTATGAGTTCAAAATATACAAGTTTGCGTACAGCACCGTCAGAACTAATAACAATTTTACAAGATCGACGCGCGGAGCTTGAAAGAAAAAGATTGCTAATGGTAACGCGCCAGATCAGTGCGTGACTTGGGGGGGTCAAACTTCGGTCAACACACACTTGATGTCAGCATCGCCGCGCAGTAAGTTACGCAATGAAGTACTTTTAAAAGTTCAATTGCATCCCAAAATGATGTCGTTGATCAATCAGTCTTTTGCAAAATATTATAACTAGTTTCCAAGCTTTTGATGCAGCCAGATTTATTTAACTTTGTGGAAATATAATCTTTTTAATTTCCCAGTCCTTTCTGTTCATTCATTGTCTTGACAATAAGTGTGAATTGCTGTGCGAGCTTTTCGTACCCGACCGCCGTCAGATGGCGTCATGAAATATATGCATAACAGGCGGGCGACCTGATTTCCTACTCTCTCCTAACCTAGCGATTGGTGAGAATGGTTATTAATATATTACCCGATACACTTGTAAATCGGACAGTCATGCCGCAACTGTGTTGAAACATTTTTGGGGCAGTAAGTAACGTCAGAATATTGTATAAAATAAAATATTCCATCCCAATCAAATCTAGGTCAAAAGGTCAAATTGCGTGCATATAATTATAGATAGTTAAAAACTAAATATATTTGAATGTTTGACGGCTATTCAACGTTTGTGCAAACCAGAATAAAAAAGGTAGTGTATACAATAGCGATATGACTGAGATATCATGGCATTTGTTTACAATATTGTACCGGCTCTAGTATTTGACACAGATGAAGTTGTTCGCGAACGATACAGAGTGGTATTAGATTTGAAGAGCCGTTCAGAATTTTCTTTGTATATCCCCAAACATTTTGACTACTCCTGTGCCGGTGACCAGTGTTTGGGCGAGCGGTCGGTGTTTTCAATAAGCGAGCGAGATAAAAAAAAAAACGGTAAAAATGTTGTCGTTTTGCGGTCGGAAATTAAGCGATCGTTTAAAAAGTGGGAAGTTGGGAAAAATGAGTGCTGTGGTTCAAGTGATATTAGCATATTTCTCATTTAGTTTTAACTCGTACAATATTTATTCACTCACTGTTCACTATAGCCAGAACGCTGTACTGTCTTCACTTTCAGGTTAGTTCTTCCGCCGATTTCTCGCAACCAACAACGTGATTTTTTATTTGGGATTTCGAGAAACACATTCACATGAATCGTTATGGCATTCATAACACAACACCTCGCCATGTTTCAACTTTTAAGTAGTCAGTTAACAAGGTCTTTCATAGTAGCATTTCTATGGGATTGACGCACTAGCATGAATGGGTTCATTTTATATAATATCGGTGTTAACTGAGGACGTCATTTGACTGGCCCTCTAGAGGCGAAATGACGCCAGGAAAATCGGACGTTTGTCGTCTGCTTCACAACCCATTTTATACCCGATATTTAGGGCATTTCGCAGCACATACAAGTTGTTTTTATCGACAGAATTCATTCATAGATCTCAGATTTCATTTACAGAGTGTCAAAAGCCACACCTCTGCTCCCCTTTAAACTGTGGCAACTCAAACGCTAATGATTCTACCAAGACGAGAATCATGGTAGCAGTTACTAGTCCCTGTTCAGACGCAGTCAGAAAACAGGGACTTGTGTTTTGACCTCTGTGCGTGTGCGTGTGCGTCCGGACCTGTATTTTAGAAATGCCTGGACCAATCACAATCAAACTTCACACATGTCATTATACATATGCTCATCAATTTGTTTCACAATCTGATTGAAGATGGGCGAATGGCAGCCACTTTTGTACTGAAAAATCATCAAAATTAAGCATTTCTCGGCTGTTTTACAGATGGATTTTGTTCAAACTTGGACATTATAGGACCTTGATGCACATCATTTTGTTTTAATGAATGTGGTTCTAGTACCATATCTCCGACTTGCTTTGACTGATTATGTTCAAATTTTCAATATACATCATGTCGTAAATATACAGATGTATTGGTTTGACGATCCTATTCAAAGTGGCCGAATGGTGGCCATTTTTGTGTTAAAAAATATCAAGCATTTCTGGTTGGATTTCGTTCAAACTTACAACATACATTAGACATTACGAGTACCTGATGCACGTAATTTTTTTTTTTGGCGGCCATTTTGTTTTAATGAATGGGCTTCTAAAGTCACATCTCTGACTGATTATGTTCAAATTATATATTCATTATACATCATGTTATAGATATATACATGTCTTCAAAATGGCTGATTTTGTTTTAATTACCGGGATAATGCTGTTCCAGAGCAATATCTCTCAATGTGGACAAGTACTCATTTGACGATCACATACAAATTGTCATATCTATCATCATAGCTATATACCTGCATCATAAATTCGATAAAGTGCCATGCTGTGCCATGCATGGCTTGTTTAACTATCAGTATACATCAAATAATATTGAATTACAGCATTTCTAGTTGCTTCTAACACGAGGCAGCAGGTTAATTTATCACCGCAGGGAATTTTTATCTTTTTACTCAACTTAACAGATAATTACTAATACTTATTAGTACAATATGCCACTTTTATCGCCCTTGTGTTTAATTCATACAAGATATATTACTTACTCAAACTCTGGGAAGCAGGCTCAACTAGCTTCGCTATAGCTATTTCTGCTTCCCAGCCATATTATACATATTTACTAAGACTTTTGTTCATTTATTTGTTCGTTTATTTATACTTGTACATATATATATATATTTATTAACTTACTTCCTATTGTAACTTTTTTCACCTTGTATAATATGGAAAATAAAACAACAATTAAAGTTGATCCAAGATATCCTTTTTGTCAAATGTCATTGTATATCCATATTTGATACTATGGATCAATTTTGTCACATAGTAGACACAAATGATATCTCAAGTACTAATCATATTTCAATGAGACTTGCTACATAGATCTTCTAAGACTATGCAGAGACTCTATTAGTTTCAGGGTAAATAATTGTGGATATTAATTACCTAATTTGCATAATTAGTTAATTGTTTCTATGAATGTTCCACTGATAAATAAAGAACCACGAATTGGATTCTAATGAAACTTTTATAGAGTACTCATCATCACATTTCAATGAATCTAGAACTATGCAGAGACCAAATTAGTTTTTGATAAATATTAGTCATATTAGTTACCTGATTTACATATTTAGTTTTCAGTTTTTCCATCAATATCTCAGGTACAAGTAATTTTGAATTAATTTTTAATGTGTCTTCAATACTCTCAGCACACGGGAGTTCTTTCTAAGCCTTCTATGATATACTTTCTGTTTTGTTACCCGTGTATAGAAAATATATATCACTTTGTGTTGAAACACCACAGTTTCTCGCAGTTGTTTATATGATTAAAACGTTATCGCAAAAGAAAACACAAGACACGTAGGATCAAAAGAAATGCCCGCTTTGCCAATCTATTTATTAGTTGTCTGAGATTTAGTGTACGAGTTCAAAACCAAGCAGGGGCAGTGACATTCTTCATTGCTAGTTTATTATGACAATGCCGTTTCATTACAGTGAATGGTTGAAGTGGTCCTCCCATTACCATGTATTCAATTCTGAACCCAATGAGTTTATTTATCCAAGTGCTGACTTCCACAAAAAACAGGAGACATCATGATTATTATACTTGACAATTTCTTTAAGATGAACGTCTGGTATTGATGCAATTATGTCTGGCAATCTGTCATGTGTCAGTGGATGTACTGCAACACTTAATGATTGACTTCTTGGACCATAGCTGTAAATGAAGACCAATAACTAATGTAAAAAACTAATGTTTCACAGCTAACTATTTTGCTTGTATCCAAGCAATTAATAGTGAGTACAAATGTAATAGAATATCTGCATAGCAAATTTGTTGAAATATCTTGCAAGCAACACCATTCATGCATAACAAAAAGTGCCAAAACAATTTTGAAATAAAAATAGGGCATGTAGGAACATAAATACTGTACCATACATATAATATATTTGTTGTGCGTCTGCCCGGAGTCATATCTCAGAATCCCTAAGACCGATTCTGCTCATTCTTTGCATGTGCCTAGTACTTTATGTGGGACATATGCACATGCAGTGGTTTAGCAATTCGATTCAAAATGGCTGACTGGCAGCCATCTTGTTTTTTGAAAATGTTGTACCGGTATTTTGGACATGCTTTGTCAGTTGTCATTCAAACTTGGTACATAGATTATACATGTTAGGATACATGTCCATGACGATTTATTCCACAATGGCATCAAAGATGGTCGACTGGCAGGCATCTTGTTATTTTTTATGCGGTATCTTGGACATGCTCTGTCAGTTTTCATTCAAATTTGGTACATACATGTATTTTATAACTCATGAACAATCCGAATCGCAACACAGCAATTAAACACAACACAACACCATAGCATCAACAATATTGACATACATGTATGAGGGATGCACATATTTGTATTCAGCGTTATTTCAGCTTCCAACGTACACTCTACCATTTCACCTTTTCGTACTGTGTAAATATACATGTGATAAATGCACAATATTTCCTAGAGGCTGACATCAGCAGACAACCGTGTTTACCACCACTCAGATAGATACCAAACTCTGGCAATAATCACTCATATTAACTGAGGTCAACATTGTGGGATTATTACCTACCTTTTCAGAATATGCTTTCGAACAGATTTACAAGTATTTAATGGTGAATGACAGAACAGGTAGAAAGCAGTCAACTTAGGACAGTTATCAAATAGCTGATACACTCCTAATATGTCAAACTGAGAGAGAGAAAAATCAGACAGTAGTACAGTACATTGTGATGTCATCAGTGTAATGGGGGGTATTACAA